CGTACAAACTGATTTTGACTATCCTCAACCATACGTCGCAATTACTCTGCTCCGCTGCCAAAGTACTAGACCGGGCATCCACATGCCTGCAACTTGCTTTGAATGTCTCTCCCTGTATCTCCCAACCCAAGCTTGTTGTCTGTCTCTTAGGGCCCCACAATGCATGCATGTGCTTCGGCAGTTTCCTTGGGTTTCTAACAGCTGCATCCAGCCGTCCCTCTATACCCCTCAACACAGGGAAGTATCCAACAGTCCCATAAGTTCCTTATGGGGTAAGGCATAGTAGGTGGTTACCGGAGATAGATGCCCGCCTAGTCGACGGCACCCCCCGGGCTATACGGGAGAAAGTGGAGAGAGTAAAAGTCCGCTGCGGGGGAAACTTCGAGCTTACACAGGAAATGCCCGCGAAGACATTGGATGGGCACGACACTTTATTAGAACATGATTGGCTATGATGGTACAACCCGCAAATTGACTGGACAACGGGTAGCTGCACCCGCAAAAGTCCACTGTGTGTCCCTGGCGCCTTTTTCCCCCTTAGATGCTTAGCTTTCATGCCCCAGGAATTCACATTCGCCCTTTTTGCACTGTGCAGTAGCCTGGGAGGAAATGGCTTCACGGGTTCCTTACCAGACTTCTCACGCTGGAACGCCAGATGTGTACAAATGTAAGTAAGCCTCCAAGTGCAAGAAGTAGTGTTTTGAGATGTCTCAAAGTACTAGTTCTCGCACGCTGGAACGCTAGATGTGTACAAATTTAAGTTAGCCTCCCCACACTCTCTTCCTCCTCGTTCTTTGCACCGTTGTTTCACGCTGGAATGTTAGATGTGTGTACAAATGTAAGTAAGCCTCCAACGCTGAGACACTCTGTTCGTCCTTGTCCCAATCTCTAAACATCGACTTTTGAGAAGTCTCAATAGTTCGTTCTTGTCCCACTTTAAGCACCACTTGCTCAATGGTGTTCCCAGCACCATGGGGTCTGTGCTGTGCGTTCCCATGTCTTGCATGGCACCCGCAGTAAGCAGTTGCGCTCAATCCACCCCACCTACTCAATCTAAGCATCACCTACTCAATCTAAGCATCACCTGCTCAATCGTGTTCCCGGCACCATGGGGTCTGTGCTGTGCGTTCCCATGTCTTGCATGGCACCCGCAGTAAGCAGTTGCGCTCAATCCACCCCACCCGCGTTGCTCGGTCTTGTCCCACTTTAAGCATCACTTGCTCAATCGTGTTCCCAGCACCATGGGGTCTGTGCTATGCGTTCCCATGTCTTGCATTGCACTTGCAGTAAGCAGTTGCGCTCAATTCACCCCACCCACGTTGCTCGTTCTTGTCCCACTTTAAGCATCACTTGCTCAATCGTGTTCCCAGCAGCATGGGGTCTGTGCTATGCGTTCCCATGTCTTGCATTGCACTTGCAGTAAGCAGTTGCGCTCAATCCACCCCACCCGCGTTGCTCGGTCTTGTCCCACTTTAAGCATCACTTGCTTAATCGTTTTCCCAGCACCATGGGGTCTGTGCTATGCGTTCCCATGTCATGCATTGGACTTGCAGTAAGCAGTTGCGCTCAATCCACCCCACCCGCGTTGCTCGGTCTTGTTTTTCCTTCACTTGTGTTGTGACTCGGAGATCTCAGCAGCAACAACCTCACAGGGGCTTGTCCCGACTCACGATGGGCTATCTCATTGCTGCCTCTCTAGCCTGTGTTGTGGTGTGGGTCAGAGATCTCTAGCCTGTGTTGTGGTGTGGGTCAGAGATCTCTAGCCTGTGTTGTGGTGTGGGTCAGAGATCTCAGCGCCAACAACTTCTCAGCCTATCCTGTTTCTCCCTTGCTATCTCCTTGCTGCCTGCCTGCCTGCCTGCGTGCCTGCCTGCCCAGAGATCTCAGCAGCAACAACTTCACAGGGGCTATTCCAGACTCCATCTCCACTCTAACCACCCTCGAGGGCATGTGAGCCTTCTCTTCTCTTCTTGTGTCACAACAGGACCATCCCCAGCTGCATTCCTGCCTCCCTGCATTCCTGCCTCCCTGCCTGCCTGCTATTCCCGATAAAACTTCCACCCTCACCACCCTTGAGGGCATGTGAGCCCCCTCTTCTCTTCTTGTGCCGCAACGTGCCAAAACGCCTGCCTTGAGCACATAGCCAACTGCACAGGGTCGATCCCCGACTACCGTCTCCACCCTCACCACCCTTGACTTGAGGGCATGTGAGCCCCCTCTTCTTGTGCCACAGCAGGACCAAAACCAGCTGCATTCCTGCCTCCCTGCATTCCTGCCTCCCTGCCTGCCTGCTATTGCCAACAAAATCTCCACCCTCACCACCCTCGAGGGCATGTGAGCCCCCTCTTCTTCACGTGCCGTGCCACAACGTGCCAAAACGCATGCCTTTATGTAACCTGCCTGCCTGCCTCCTGCCTCCTCCCTGCCTGCTATTCCAGACTCCATCTCCACCCTCACCACCCTCGAGGGCATGTGAGCCCCCTCTTCTCTTCTTGTGCCACAACCAGTACGGTTGCCATGAGCACATAACCGTGAAACTACTCACATCTCCACCCACCCTCACCACCCTCGACTCGAGGACATGTGAGCCTTCTCTTCTCTTGTTGTGGCGCAACGTGCCAAAACGCCTGCCATGAGCACATAGCCAACTTCACAGGGTCGATCCCCGACTCCGTCTCCACCCTCACCACCCTTGAGGGCATGTGAGCCTTGTTGTCCCACAACAGGCCGAAACTTCAGCCATGAGAGTTGAAACCATTCCCATCTAAACAAGGTGGACTGTCGTGTACAGAAATAATCTTCGAGCCTTTGCAGTGACATGCAGCCCATGCATTCCGCAGCACAATTCTCAAGTCTCAACCAATACACCCCCCTTACCATGCCCTGCAGTCTCCTCAACAACAACCAGCTGACAGGCACCATCCCCTCGCCCATATTCACCATGACGAATCTGAAATACCTATAAGCCTCATGAGTCTAGGGATCCGACTTTTGAGTCGACTCAAAAGTCAACCAGCTGACAGGCACCATCCCCTCTGCCATCTTCACCATGACGAATCTGAAATACCTGTAAGCCTCAAGGGTTACGGATCCCCCTTACTAAGTGCCCTCACGGGCTTGGGGGTCCCCTTATCAGCTGTTCTGCCGTTCAAGCACTCCCCCATCTGCCATATTCACCTTGACGAATCTGAAATACCTGTAAGCCTCAAGGGTTACGGATCCCCCTTACTAAGTGCCCTCACGGGCTTGGGGGTCCCCTTATCAGCTGTTCTGCCGTTCAAGCACTCCCCCGTCTGCCATATTCACCAGGACGAGTCTGAAATACCTGTAAGCCTCAAGGGCCTAGGGACCCCCCTCCCTTCCCCCCCTCCTTTACTAAGTGCCCATCAAACGTTCCCACCTCTGCCTGCCCCACGAAGCTTGCCTGCTTCAGCCCGCAACGCTTTGCTCTTGCATGCGCTGCTTCTTGTTGCAGTGTCCCCCTCCCTGCCATTTCCGTTGCGCATCAGCCACAAGGTATCCCTCGCATTGCAACTGTCTCCCTGCCATTGCCATTGCCATTGCCATTGCCATCGCCCGTCAGCTACGTTGCCAACAACCATCACTCTGCCAGCTGCCATCAGCCGACTGACAACATCTCTCTCACAGTGCCTCCCTTCCCTCCCTGCCATTGCCATTGCCATCACCATTGCCCGCCGTCAGCTACATGGCCAACAACCAGCTGACTGGCGCTCTGCCATCTGCCATCACCCAACTTCAGAAGCTTGAACAGATGTGAGGGTGCTTTCTGCCTTGCTCCCCTACATTTCTCAAGAACGTTGGCAGCGCCGAAGCAATACAGGCAGCACAGGCACAGGTTTACAGGTAGATGTTATTAGATGTTTATTACAAACACAAGTCCAGCAAACGTCCTCACTCTGAACATAACGAACAGAAACTAACAAAAAGAACCAAGGCACACAATCATTGCCTGTGCCATCCCCACTTCACCCACTGCTCTTTATTCATGCAACCATTGGCACCGCCTTCGCTCTCCTTGCCAACAATCTGCCTGCGAATGCTCTGCCTGCCACTGCTCTGCTCTCCCTACCCTTCGCTCTGCCTGCTCTTCCTGCTTCCTGCCAATGCTCTGCCTGCTCCCACAGCTGGTTGGACAACAACAATATCGAAGGCCCTCTGCCAATTGGACTGTGCTCGCTGCCTTTGCTGTGGCGCTTGTGAGTGGTTGTAACACTTGGCTGTAGCGCATTAATGCTTTATTTTCTTTTCCTTTTCTTTTAGAGATGTCCCAGCCAGGACAGACAGACTGTCGATTATTGCAAGCAAGTTTGTATACCTACTGAACTCTTAAATGTGGAGATTATCAACATAATATCTCCCTTTGGCGTGTTGCCTTTTTGCATGGGTGTGTGACTCGTGGTGTGTGTCGTGTATGGCATGGTGTGTGTCGTGTGTGGCATGGTGTGTGTCGTGTGTGGCATGGTGTGTGCTGTGCTGATGGCAGCATGATCAGCAACAACTACCTCTACGGACCCCTGCCAGACTGCCTCTTTGACAAGTGTATCAACCAGATGTGAGCCAATCGCGCATATGTCTCCACACATGCCACACTACCTTTACCATGCATTCATGCAACGGCTCGCACTCTCCACGTGATCATCACACCCCACACGTGATCATCACACCCCACACGTGATCATCACACCCCACACGTGATCATCACACCCCACACGTGATCGTCACACCCCACACGTGATCATCACACCCCACACGTGATCGTCACACCCCACACGTGATCGTCACACCCCACACGTGATCGTCACACCCCACACGTGATCATCACACCCCACACGTGATCGTCACACCCCACACGTGATCATGCCCCACAAACCCACAGGATGTGAGTGGCAACAGCCTGTATGGGCGCATCAACCGCGACTTCAAGCACATGGTGGCGAGCAGCGGCGCGCTCGTCAACCTGGCTCGCAACTTCTTCTTTGATGGGACTACCACTGACCAAGCACTCAACACCATTTTCTGCCCTCTGTATGGCCCCGTGCCTCCCTCCCACCCGCAGTGATGTAAGCGGCAACAGCCTGTACGGCCCAATCAGCCGCGACTTCAAGGGCATGGTGGCGAACAGCGGCGCTCTCGTCTACCTAGCCCGCAACTTCTTCTTCGGGGAAGCCGTGCTCTTTGCTGCCGGCTGCAAAGTCTGCCCCACCAAGGTCAACGAGCCCAACAACCTGGGCCTCAAAGACACATCCAACTGGCGAGTCTCTGACGGCAAGTGCAACAATGCGCTCCCCGATTACCTACCTAAAGAGTACTACGCTGCCGCGGGGGCAGGGTTGCCGCTGAGTGTGAGCCTGTTGGGCAACTGCCTGACTCTCAGCCCGAACGCGGAGTGCGCGGTGAATGCAACCCAGCGCAGCACGGCAGCCTGCCAGGCGTTCTGCAGCATCACGGACAACGGCCCGTGTGACGGCCATGGGGTGTGTGTGCCGGCTGCCCCTGCCTCTCCCGCCAACTTCACGTGCCTCTGCGATGCCGGCTACACCACTCTCGACTCGGGCAACGGCTCCACATGCGCTATTGTCAACTCCACCACCACCACCAACACTGGTAACCTTTGCTTCATTCTTACAGCACCGCCTCAGTCTCGCAGCATTGCCCATGTCCAATACTTACATGGTGCACCAATACCCATGTCATGTGGCTTTTCTCCTCCACACCTTTTCACTCCTTGCCGCACCTCGACACCTTCTAACTACCGCCCCAATTCCCGTAACCTCCCATTCCTTGGCAGAGTCGTCTCTGTCTACGGGTGCCATAGTTGGCATTGCTCTGGGCTGCTTTGCTGGCTTCATTTTCCTGGCTTTTGTGGTCGCATGGCTGCTGTGGCCCCGCGGACCAAGTGAGCCCCTCAACCCTTCTTCAGTTCCATTCGTTTCTGTCTCGCCCATTGCTGCGCCTGTTTTCTGGTCTCCGTCCCTCCCCTGCTTTACCATTTTTACTGCATTACAGCTCTGCCTCTCCTCTGCTCTCATGTTCTATTTACTCATTAACTCCCATGGTCGCTCGCTCTCTCGTCCTCCTGTGTGCGCAGAGAAGTGGGAGGGGTTGGATGTGTGTGAGCAGTTCTCGCGGCAGCAGATGTTGAAGGCCACCAACAACTGGTCGGAGGACAATGTGTTGGGCAAGGGTGGCTTTGGCATTGTCTACAAAGGCCAACCGTGGGCCAACCGTGGGCCATCAAGCGATCCACCATCATGACCAACGACTTTGAAACGGAGGTGAGGCAAAAAAATTGGTGTCAGAAGACGTGCAATGGGGATCCCCGATTGATCCTATCTTTGGGAAGGGTTACAGGCACGCTTGCCTTGGGATTTTCGATGCACTCACCCGTTATTTAATAAACCATCTTATCCCAGTGTGTAGTGTCTGAAATTCTGGCATGGTATCAGAGCAAAGGTCTCGAATTTGAATCCACATGTGCGCACATGCTGGCGCCTATGTTCCGTTGTGGCTGTACTGTGTCCTAGGGCATCCCAGTAAAGGAGGGTGTCAGTAGAACTGCACTGGAGATCTCCGATTGATCATAAGAAAATGTTACAGACACGTTTGCCTGGGAGTTTAGAGGTGCACTCACTATGTAACAAATCATTTTGTCGTAGTGGTGTAGTGGCTGGGATTCTGACAATACTCGTTCACAATGCTGACCTGCAGATTCTTGCAGATTCAGTGCCCACCTTTCCATGGCCATGTGCGTCTGCCTGTATTGTGTTCTCACTGCAGGTGCGAGCCATGGCCTCTCTCCACCACACACATCTCGTGCGCCTACTGGGCTTCTGCTTGGACCAGAACGTGGAGACGGGCAAGCAGGAGCAGATCCTCGTGTACGAGTTTATAGGCAACAGGGACCTGGAGTTCCATATCCATTCCACCAAACGTGAGTTGCACTGGCACGATGGCTAAATGGTTGAAAGGCGTTTGCCTTTATTTTCACACTAACCTTGACACCATCACTTGTAAAACCACCCGCTGCTTGGTATACATGCTTGTGACTCGACCCAGGTCCCCTCTCACTACGCCAGAGGTTGCGCCTAGCGCAAGGAGCAGCAGAGGGCCTGGCATATCTGCACGGGTTTGACACACCCATCATTCATCGCGACATCAAGCCTGCCAACATCCTTGTGACTGCCGACATGCAAGCCAAGGTGGCTGACTTTGGACTGCTCAAGCGCCTCACTCACGGCGATGCTAATGCCACGCGGGTGACTGGCACTCCGGGCTATGTCGACCCAGATTACAACCGCACCAATGTCATCACTTCCAAGAGTGATGTGTTCAGGTGAGCATGCATGCTTGTTCCTTTGCACAGCATTATGAAAGTGTCCTCTGTTTTTGCTTAGCCCAGCATTTGTTGAATACTTGTACCCTGTATTGTTATTCTTTCCAAACTTCTTCTTGTACATGCAATTGCGTGGTCGCTTGCAGCTTTGGGATCGTTCTTCTTGAGTTGCTGAGTGGGAAGTCACCCCTAGTCAACACAAAACGCATATAAGAAAATGGGTATGCACATCACGCTTGAAAACTAGTTTTTGAGTCGGCTCATCAGTTGGTCAATTACATATAACAAAATCGGTATGCACATCGAATATGAAAATTGTTTCTAACCTCATTACTTTATGGTTTAGGAATTAGGGTTTAGACCTCATCACCTTTCATTCTGCCTTCCACCACCCTTCCTGCCTTCCATAATCAATTCCATCTTTATTCGTGTTGACGACCTCCAGGCTATGAAGGTGGTGGAGGCGTATGAGGTGGATGAGCTGAGGGACAGCAAGATGCCGGCAGCAAGCGAGGAGGCCATGGTGGACTTTGCAGACCTGGCTCTGGACTGCATCAAGTCTCCCGGCACACGGCGACCCACCATGAAGGATGTGGCATACCGCCTCAGTGCCCTCATTGACAAACACTGCCCTGACAGGGAGGATGAGTGGGAGAGTGTTGCGAAGAAAGAGAGTGAAGGCAACGAGTATGTCTTCGAGGGATATTTCGGCTGCGTCGTTTGAAGACAATGGGAGGGAGTCTGAGCGGCATGATGGCTCACAATCTGGTGTGAGCTCCTTTGTGCGCATTGGCTCGATAGGTCTCAAGAGTTGGCTGCAATTGAAGCCAACCAAAGGGCGTTGAATTTGCCCACAATGACTGCACACGTGCGTAGTTAGCGTGGAATTTGCGGTACTGTATTCCCCGAATACACCAACCTAGGGTTTTATTATAAAAATGACGTTTTATATGAGGAAAAAAACTGCTCAATGGGTTTATATTACAAGACCTGGGTTTGCTTTCATATGACAACTTCGTGTCAAGTTATATCGAGTGAAGACATTCCTTAGCGAATCGCGCGAAGATTGTGCGATGTAGGTACTGTAACCATCCTGAGTTGTAACCAGTTCCACGCCGTAATGCTTGGCACCGCCCTTGGCTGGAATGCTGCCGTTGTGTACAGCTGGGCAGCGCGCAAATCCTCGCAGTTGATCCGACACTCCGCGTTCCAGCCTGGCTGGTGGGGGGCACTCCCCGTTCCTTGCGCTGGTTGCTGGTTGCTACTACTGGCGGAGGGTGATGGGCGGATGGAAGAGAGGGACTGCTTGACAACCGAATGTTGACGTGGCAGTTCCGTGCACCACCAGAGATTGGTGGGCCGTGGGGCACCCCGTGGGCAGGATGGAAATATGCTAGCTAAAAAAATCCACTACACTCCGAGCATCCGACGCGAATCCAAACTACTCGATGCTAGGGGGACATTGGCACAGAAAAGGGGAACATTGACCAGGTTTTGTGAAATGCCGCCTTTCAAGGGGATTATTATTATCTTTTTTTTTCAAAGGAGATTATGATTTCTGGGTGGGTCACCCGGTCAGATTAAAGAAAGCAGCTGTTCCCCTCTAGCCTCGGGGAAACTTGCCCTGATGTTTTTCAATTGAGCTCTCTTGCGTCGAGCTCCCTTCTTTCTGCTGCTCCCCCTGCCCATCCCCTTCAAATGAAAAGAACCATTGCACCGAAGTTCACCGTTTTGTAAAGTGTCAAACAGTGCGCAACTCCCCCAGCCACCCAAACTCCTCCCCTCCCCTGGTAAACAGCGTCAGATATGAATTCAATCTGCGGCCATTCCACAATGATTCGCCTGATGCACCCCCATCGACCCAGCGAGACAGACAACTCGAACAACCACCCTAGAAGGCTGAAGCCCTGATCCGCGTCGCGTGGTCCTTAATCCCATTGGCTCATCTCACCAATCTTTGCCTCATTGCCGTGTCCTTTTTTTTTGGAATCATTTGCACGGACCGCCAGTGCCACCCCGCTGGTGACTGTAGTGTTGAACGTACGGAGTTAACGATTTTACCCGTCAATGGGATCAGCGATTCAGCGAACGGATGCGATGAGCGGTCACGACTCACGGCGAGTTAGGACGAGCAATCATAGAAGTCTCACGAGGGGTACCTGTCGGCACGGCGAGGACGAGGCGGAGCAGAAAGCGGAGACGGAGGCGATACGCAAGCAAGGACACCCACCGCTCACCGCAAGTCACGGCGGCCCTTCGATTCTTAGCTGTCGTTCCCCTCCGTGCTTAGACTTGGGACTGTCTGATCGTCCGCTGGCGTGTGAGGTACGGCTGCAGGCTCGACCTGTCACTTCTCCGAAGTTAACGCTCAGAGTGCTTTGATACCTGCTGCGCTAGAGTGACACTCTCGCCCCTGACGGATCAAACTCCCTGACGGTCACCTAGTAGTATTGTCGCTTCGATACGTGAAGTCAACTTACCCATTCGTGAATCTCGCGCGAAGCCGTCGCGATCATGTTTTCGCCGCTGGCGTGCTTCTCTCCGCACAACTTCGCGGACGATTTCAGTGATTTCGGCGACGATGTAACTTTCGACGAAAGGTTTCCGCAAGCAACGCCACCTACGCGAAGCGTTCCGAAAATCCCCTCTCTCTCGTCACTGCCGGTCTTCACGCGGCCGCTCACAAGCCCCGCAGCCGCGTGCGTCGCAGCCTTCCCCGTCTGCTGCTCGCCCACCAGCGACGGCGGTTCACGAAACGATTCCTTGCGACGCCACGTGCGACACGTCGAGCGACGAGCCAACGACGCCTCGTGCGACGATCGGCGTGATGGCGAGTCGCACGAATTGTCGTTGTGGGCGTCTGAGTGTGCTCAGGCGGGGCGGAACGACAAGCACTCGCATCACGTACACGCCCCGTTCTCCGTCTCTGTTCCCCCCGTTATAGTGCCGTCGCCTACTAGCAACGACGTCGCGCGGCGGTATTTCTCCAGCGGCATCGAGAGCCGCGCTGCTCTCGCAGGGAACGCCACGAACCGCAACAAATCGATGCGCAAATCGAAAGGCGCCGGGGGCGGATACGGCGCGGACGAGAAACAAGACGCCGTCGCCGCGGAGTCGGCGCCAGCAGCGGCGGCGCGGGCAAACCCAAAGGCCGGTAAGACGACAGAAGTCGTCGCGGCCGTCACCACCGCCAGTTTCGCAAAGAGTCGCACGTCGCTGCGCGCGCGACCATCACTGGTCATCCCAGACCCTGCTGGGGAGCCGTTGGATTATAACGAGGGCTTTGTCTCAATCAACGACGAGTTAGCGAAACCCCAAAGGCCGTTACATGACAGTAACCACGTGCTGCCGCCTCACCGCGGCTGCGCAAGTAGTAAGCCGCTGCCGTCGCGCAACCGTTCCAAATCGAGGCCGCGAACAGCGCCCATGGGAATTGCGCGCTGGTTTTGGGACGCCGCCGCGGGAGTAGCAGGAGCGGCCGGAGCGGGAGAAGCGGAAGGGGCGGAAGGAGCGGCGGAAGGAGCGGCGGAAGGAGGGGCCGGCGGAAGCCAGATCGGCAATTCGACCGAGGACGCAACGACGGTGACAGCGCTGGGCGGCGACGCGGCGGCGCCGACACGGACGACGTTGTTCCCATCGGCGCACAGCGAAGGCGGTGGCGGCGAGCGGCGCCCGCGCGACGTGCTAATCGTGAAAGCGGGAAGGCCGCCCGCGGATGCGGGGCGGGCCAGAGGCGGCGTGTTCCGCAAGCAGCAGCGGCGGGGGAAGGGCAAGCGAAGCGTGTTCGTATACGAGCTGGTGCGCGCATCCGCGGGGGAAGGCGCAGATTCGGAAATGCGCGTTCCGCGCGCGAGAACTGCAGGGGCGGCGGAGAGCGGCAGCGCAGGCATGAGGGAGGCGGAAAGCGCGGAAGACGGAAGGGGGAAGGCGCGGGCTTGGCAGCAGCGGTCGCTGGATCGAAGCGACACGCATAGCGACATTGCTGACGTGGACGAATGGCGGAGGGAGATGGAAAAGTATCTGGCGGAGAAGGAGCGACGCGCGAGCCTTGAGCCCACCCAAAAGGAACGGACGATGGTGACGTGGCAGCACGCGGAAAACGAGACGCGGAAGAAGCGTGAGCAACCCACACTCCCCACACGCGGAGGACATGATGACGTGGAAGTAGTACCAGACTTGGGAGTGGATGACGAAATTGAGGAGCACCATAGCGAGAGTGGCAGCTGGCGCGATACAAGCAGCGACGAGGATGCGGGAATTGACCGGTGGGACCTGGAAGCGGATATAGAGGAGCACCATAGCGAGGATGGGAGCAGCGCTGCGCTGTCTACCGCGTCGAGCGGCCGCGGCGAAGACGCGTGGGGCGTTGGGGGCAGCAGCGGCAGCGAGGACTGGCGAGCATGGCAGCAGGGGCGAGACGAAGAAGTATTAACCGAGTTGGGAGTGGATCGGGAGGAGTTGAGAGCGGTGACGGGGGACGAGGATTGGTTTGAAGAGGCGGATGAGGGCGTGCTGCTGGTAGACGAGGGGCGGGTCGTGCTTGCATCTGCATCGGCTTCTGGGTCAGACAGTGGCGAGCGCAGGGAAAACAGACATCGAGAGAGGGCAGGGGGGTGTGTGGGAGCATTTGCGCATGTTACTCGTCCCTCCGCGCATGGTGCATCTCCCCTTCCTGCAGACTCAGCGGTCCCTTCCGCTGCGCCGCCCCGTGCCATCCGCCAAGCCAGCAAGGCCGCCGTTGCTCGCGCTGCAGCGCAGGCGTTTGGTGGGGAGGCGGGCGCTAGCAGTGACAACAGCACCGGCAGTGGCAGCGACAGCAGCAGCAGCAGCAGGGAGGGGGAGCGACCTGTGCTGCTGCGGTGCGAGGGCGTGCGGGGGAGCAACCGCGTGCGCGCGTTTGACCCCAGCGAGTACGAGACGGCAGCAACAGCCGATTACGAGACAGCAGCAACAACCGTCGCCGCAGCGTCTGCAGCAGCTGCAGCAGCAACTGGCGCAGGCAAGGGCGTCCCTGAGAGCAAGTACGAGGCAGGCGGAGAGGCGGAGAGACGGGCGACAGAAGGCTGCTGCGGCGAGCCCGAGCGCGACGACGCTGTGCTGATGTCAGCAGCGGCGGGAAAGGGCCAGCAGGCGACAGCGGCGGCATGGTGGCAGTTGGGCGGGCCAGGGGCTGATAAGAGTGCCAGCAGCGGCGGGAAGGGCGGCAGGCAGAAGAGCACAGGCAGCCGAGCGAGCAGCCGGGTGGGCAGGGGGGTGTGCAAGGGCCGGTCGCGACCGGTGGGACCCCCACCCACGCCTCAGAGCCCTGATGACGATGTACGCACGGAAAGCCGCACTTTACCCTCGATATCCCCGCCGGCCCTCCTCTCACGCGCCGCAGCATCACCATCATCCCGCCTCCCGCCCTCCCCACGCCTACCGCCCTCCCCGCGCCTATCGCCCTCCCTGGGCCTGAGAAGGCAGCAGTCCGCCGCTGCTGCGCTGGCCTCTGCTGGCCCTCATGCTCCCTGTGCTGACTCGTCCCGTGCTTTAGAAGCAACTTATAGGCACACTAAGAGGCAGGCTGACTCAGCTGCAGGCAAGGACGGCGCAGGAGTGCAGCAGGAGCGCAGGCGAGCAGCAGCGATTTATCACAAGAGCAGCAGCACTGGCAGCAGCAGAGAGGGAGGCACCAGTGCGGGCAACAGCAGGAGCAACGTGTTGGGAAGCCAAAGCGGCAGTGCTGCTGCTCAGCCCAAGCGCATTGCCCATAGCGTGACCTACCACCCTGGAGGCAACACAATAACTAGCCTAGCCACGGCCGGGAGCAGCAGCACTGGCAGCAGTGGGGGAGGAGGAGGTTTCAGTGGCACCGGCAGTGGAAGCAGCCAAAGCGGCAGTGCTGCTGCTCAGCCCAAGCGCATAGCCCATAGCGTGACCTACCACCCTGCAGGCAACACAAAGACTAGCATAGCCAGTGCTGGCAGCAGCAGCAGCAGCAGCAACAACAGCAGCACCCACAGCCACGCCTCACCCTCCTCCTCCACCTCTCGCCCCTCTCCCCCACTCCCTTTGTCACCTCCACCCGCGTCCCTCGTCCCTCTCCCTTCACCCCCGTCCCTCGTCCCTCGCCCCTTGCTCTCGCTCTCTTTCGCAGCCTCGGCTTCAGCCTCGGTGTCAGCCTCGGCGTCAGCCTCGGCGTCAGCTTCGGCCAAGCCTAGGCCTCTGAGCCGTGCCAACTCGGCTGCCCCTGCCTTGCTACACCCACAGCCCATTTTTCTGGCCGGTGGGAAGCGATTTAGCACCCGCTGCCCTGCTGCTGCGGCCGCTGCTGCTGCCGCCGCTGCGGTTGCTGCCAACGGCGGTGGTGTCACTGCTAGTGCTAGTGCTGCTTCTGCTGCTGCTGGTGCTGCTGCCACTGATACTGCTGATGGTGCCACTGGTAGAGCAGGTTTGGAAGGAGCAGCAAAAATGGCAAGGATAGGGGAAAGGAAGGGTGCAGCAGGCATTAAAGCTAGCGCGGTGGTATACCACCCGGCCTTCAGCAGCTACCGGCACCAGGCTGACGTGGCAGCACAGCAGGAGGAGGCGAGCCTGAGGGAACTGGAACAGCAGTTGGAGAGGGAGAGAAGGAGGAGGGAGGAGGAGGAGGAGGAGGAGGAGGAAAAGTTGGCAGTGGCTGGTGAGAGGGGAGTGAGGGAGGTGAGAGTGAGGGAGGGCGAGTGGGAGGAGGGGGGTGCGTGGATGGTGAAAATGCCGGGAAGAGGGGAGTCTAGGAGACTGGAGGAGCTTTGTGAGAAAGCAGTTGGGATGGGTGCTGGTGGGGTGGGGATGGGATTGGATGGGGTGGAGATGTGTTTGGAGTTGGAAAGAGGGGTGGTGAGCATTGGGCCTAGTGTGGGGGGTAGAGGAGGGATGGAAAGGAGCTTGAGCATGGGAAGGGGGTTGCTGGGGTTGAGTCCAGATGCGATACTGGATGCGAGAGGGAGGGAGAGGATGGGGGTGATGCACGGAGCGAGAGAGCATGCTGTCATATCACCAGTACCTGTACCTCCTCCCATGCGACGATCCCGGACAGACACAAGGCAAGAGAGGCAAGCACGAGAGCAGCGGGAGCAGTGGGAGCAGATGGGTGCGTCTGTGAAGCAAGGTGCAGGAAAGGAAGCACCTGTACCTCCTCCCATGCGACGATCCCGCACAGACACGAGGCAGGAGAGGCGTGCGAGGAAGCAGCGAGAGCAGAGTGAGGAGAGGGAGCAGATGGGTGCACGTGTGAAGCAAGACCTTGGATTGGTTCCCGTGCCACCTCCCATGCGACGGTCTCGGACTGACACGCGGCAGGAGAGGGCGACGAGAGCACGGCAGCAAGCGGTGGCACCAGCAGTGAGGGTTGGGGGCAGAAGAAGCGAGGGGAGCAGTGGGCGGGAGGGGAGAATCGAAGGCGGAGCAGGCAGCGGGCGGGTGTTGCGGCGAGGCAAGACTCAGCCGAGCCGGCGCTTGGAACAACGGGAGGGGGTGCCCCGACGCAGAGAGGGGGACCTGCTCATTCGCACGCATGCGCTGTGAGTAGTGGGCAAAGAGCAGGGGGCAGAGTGCAAGGGGGAGGGGGGCAGAGTGCAAGGGGGAGGGGGGCAGGGGCTAAAGGGCAGGGGGCCAGGGGGCAGGGCGCAGTGGATAGTGGGCAGTGGGCACGGGGCAGAGGGCAAGGGAGGAAGGGGATGGCCCGGCGCAGGGAGGGGGTGCCCCTGCTCATCTGCAGGTATGCTTTGTGAGTCCTATGGGTAGCACTAGCGGGCAGGGGTGGTTGTGAACGTGTCTAGTGGCAAGCCGCTCAAGCCTGTGTGGCAGCAGCTGTGTGCTCTGCTGCTGTGGTCTCATCCCTTCTTCGCTGCTCACTCTTTTGCTTGTCCCTTGCACTGCTGCTGCTGCTGCTGCTGCTGTGCTGCTGCTATGTGTGTGTGTGCAGAGGGCAGGACGCGGAGGTCTGGTGCTAGACAACTGACTGTGGCGGTGGGCACAACACAACGGCATAACATGTGATGGCAACTGATAAGGATGACTGCAACCTGCAACGCTGATCACAAACTGACCCTTGCACTGCTGCTGCTGCTGTGTGTGTGCAGAGGGCAAGACACGGAGATTCTGGTGCTTGACAACTGACAGTGGCGGTGGGCACAACACAACGGCATAACATGTAACGGCAACTGATAAGGATGATGCAACCTGCAACGATGATCAGATCACAAGCTGACAGTGATGGCACTGCCATCCTGGGTTGCGTACAGGGCTAACTTTAGTGCCAGGGCCTGTCTGACGGTAAGACCGGGTCCTGAGCCTTTGTCTGATGGTCAGACGAGAGTGGTAGCCTTGTCTTACGTTTCAGACGAACAAAAATAACTTGTCAGGAGGTCAGACGGATTTAGACAGTTAATCTTATACAAGCAGATTTCCTAGCCTACGTAGTTCCTACACTAGAAATCGTACGACATCCTTTCCTAAGAAGAATCACTTGCACTACTGCTGTCACTGTCATCATCACTACCACTGCCACTGTCATCACTACCACTGCCACTCTCAGAGGTTTCAACAATTGTGGCTCTGGATTTGCCCTTCCTCCAGGTAGGCACCTCCCACGCAGCTTCTTCTGCAGCCCTCTCTCTCTCCTTCGATGCAGCCTCTTCTGCCTCTTTCCGTGCACGTGTAGCTGCTTCTGCTGCTGCTGATGCTGCAGCGCGCTTCTTCAGGTGATGGGACCGCCGTCGCTTCACCGGGCGTGAGCCTTCGGCCATGACCACCTCTCGAGCCGGCCGCCTCTTCTTGCTGGCATACCACCTATCCGCAAGCTCCTCTGTGTTCAGCTCGTAATCCAGAAGAGACACCGTCATCAGGTTGCCCAGTGTCTTGTCGCACAAGCTGCCCCGCACCCAGCTTTTGATGATGTTCTGGCGGCTGAAGCCGCGCTCACACTCAACAGTGCTGAGTGGTAGCACAGCAACAGCTATCCACAGGCGGCCGAGGTTCGGATAGGCTGACTCCCATTCCGGCATTGAGAGCATCTGCGACAGGCTGTCGTGGAAGGACAGGTCTTCGTGGTGATGGGAGAGGATGGTCGTGAAGCTGGTGAGCTCCTTGGTGGCTTTGCCCCAGTCCACACCTGATGGTGAGGGGGTAGGGTAGGGTGTGGGATAGTATATCACAACAGAGAGTCAATTCAAGGCATGGCAGCAATGATGGAACAAGGAAGAACGCAGGTTTAAAAACAAACCGCTTACCGGGGAGGGTGTCTGGATGGTTGGGCTTCTTCTTGAACAGGTTGCGCAGCGACTCGAGCCATTCGGGAAACCGACGCGCTCTCTTAGCGCGCGAATGAGGGTACCGTCCCTGCCGAAACAGACGGGCGCCGTCCAACGACTTAAGACTCTTCATGCGATCTTCAATGAAGAACACCGTCGTCCATGCGAACTTGGATGCTGTCTCCACGCACGACTCCAGGTCGCCCCCAAACTTCCCCTTCCCGATGAGGTCCTCGTGCAGCACGTAGGTGTAAGTCACGGGCTCCCCAGCGCTGTCGATGCTTTCGACCTTCACTTCGCGGTGCTCAGTGCTCCCGTGGTTCTTCAGGAACGTCGCAAGACGACCACTGTTGTCGCCGAAGGTGGAGCCGTACTCCACATAGCGACTTGTCAAGATCAGCGTGGTGTGCTGCACCATCGGCCGAACCTACGTCGCATCAAGCTGCACATATTAAACAGTAACAGAATTAGTCTCGGCACATGGAAAGAAAGGATGGAAGGTGTAACTACATGTCCTTACCTGCCGTCGCTAGAACTTGAGATTCAGGCTGTTCAACTCCTGAAGCACGTCAACCAGAAAGAAAAGGAAAAACTGAAACTTCAGACTGGTGACGAGCGAAAAGTTGTCTTGTCGTACTCATGCAGCAGGACAATGGCAGCAGGCAGGACGTCTGCAAAGCGCTGGATGGCGTCCCCGCGCGACAGCCAGCGGACGTCTTTGATGCCTTGCATCTCCAGGTTGGTCTCTGTAATCACCTCCTGCAGCTTCTTGAATCGCGCATGCTGCACTATGCTGCGGCCGAGGATGTCTGCGAATGACCGGACGACTTTGTCGACGACATTGAACTTGGGGAATTCTTCAGCAGCATCCTTAGCAGCCAGAGCCTCCCTGCAGTTATAACACAAGTAGGATTAGTACGATGACATCAAGTGCGAGATATATAACAACGAAAAAAACAACACACTACCTGTGGGCCACGCAGTGGCACGGCACAATATGCGGCACCCGCGTTCGTAACCGCGCCACCAAGCCTGTCTGACCGCCCGTCATCACGCTCGCGCCGTCCGTGGTCATGCCGCTGATCCTTGTCAGTTCGAGGCCGCAAGCAGCAAGGTGTGTCAACAGGACCGCCTCAAGCGACCCGGCGTCGCACTTCTCAACGGACAAGTTGGCGAAGAACTCGGTAACCACCACCGTGCCACGGAGAAACGTGGCATACACAATTATGTGTTTGCCACGCCTTCGGTCGGTGCTTTCATCGAGTTGGAGGCCAACGAAGGGACTTATGCTGATGTGCTGCATCTGCTTCGCCTCCAAGTAGCACACCAGCGTTTCGACCAACTGCTTGAAACCATACCTGCGTCAACGAGAACACAAAAGAGATGGTAAGTAAGGGGTATTCAGAAACCACAATGATGTGAACATATATACTCACGTTGAACAATAAGTCCCTTGGTCCTTGGCCGGCATGTCTGGCGTCCCCATCTCTACCATAAACTGCACGAGTGTCATGAACATGACAATGGGGGTGTCGGATTTGCACAGGAAACGAACGGTGAGAAACAGCTTCATCAAACGCCGCGTCGCACTCTTATCTCCAAAGTTGGAGATAGATGCCTGCTTCTTCTGCGGGCCTTCACGCTGCTCCAATCGATCCTTCGCCTCCCGGTGCCGGATGCTCCACTGATGCTTCCGCAACGTCTGCTTCTGTATGTCGATGCCCCCCTCGCCCCGAGCGCCGAACTGTGACTCTGGGTCGGCGTACACCATGCAGATCTTGCACCTCCAGCAAGGTCGACCTTCGGAGGTGTCACCGATGATGACCCAAGGGAAATGGCGGCTCCACTGCTGCTTGGCTTTTAGCTGCAGCTCCTCTAGCGACAGAATCCGGGGTCCGGCATTCTCGGCTCCGCGGCGCTTCCCTCCATCTTCCTCAGTTATGGGCTCCCTGCAGGGGTAGGGCTTGGGCGTTTCGAAAACGGAAGCTTATGTTGCACAAATTTGGTCTTGCCAGTAAACCGCGGCGGGAGAAACGGGGAGCGGGATTGGAAGGGATTTTTTCCAGCAGGAACATATGACGCGACAGGTTGACCGGATGGCGAACCCCCATGGTGGCTTGATGTGGTTGGTGATCGCACGGGTGAAAATGGTATGAGCGGCTCGGCATCCATCTCAGCGAAAGGGTACGGCTGCTCGGGAGAATCGAGTTTCTCATTCTGACAGGCCGAAGGAGCAACAGCAGCAGCTGGGACTGGAGTAGGGGTGAAACCCCCCCCATAAGGAAATCCAAGCCAGTGCGTGGGCGGGGCAACGCACTGGAAGGAGGTGAAGCATGCAGAGTGGATGCTGGAGGGGCCTCTGTGTGGGAGTCTGCCATCTCGGTGGAACTACGCACCGACTGGCTCTGGCTCACGAGGGTAAGATGAAGGACACCTGGTGCTGTGGGGAGTGAGGGGGGACCGTCCGAACCGGGCCGCATGCATGAACGTCCTCTTCTCTGCTGGAAGCAGCCACGCCATCCATCCCTCGCTGACACGACGCGCACTGAGGGCTGTCGGTGTTGCAAATGCAGCCTTCTGCCGTGCGCTGGCACGAATATGCCAAACGAACTGGCAAGATTCGTGCCAGCGGGGTGACTGCGGCGCAGTGACGTGCGGTGGACCGGTGGTGTTGTCACCGACCTCGGCAATGTACAGCCTGGCGGTGGCATCAAGGTAACGCGACGAGTGGCTAGTCTCGTCCGTAACTGGCCAGGTGGGCAACTGGCCAGGTGGGCAACTAGCCAGGTGGGCAACTGGCCAGGTGGGGGCATTTGTCTGTTTCAGACGAAAAAAAACTCGATGTCTGCAGTCTCAGACGAATCGTATAAGGCTGTCTGACAAATCAGACGAATTAAAAAAGTTTCTCTTAAAAATCAGATGACAAAAAAGAGCTTGTCTACGGCATCAGACGAACCAGTAAAAAGGTGTTAAAATTCCAGACAATCAGACACATAATTTCTGATAAAGTAAGCCCTGGTTGTGTATGGGGCAAACCTCTTGCCACACAGCTTGGCAATGTACAGTGGGTTGCTTGCAAGGAGTTTGATGGTAGGCACTCCATTCCTGACTCGCGGCTCCCGCTCCTGTCCCTCACCTGTCACTCAATCAATGCCGGAGTGTTTCTTGTTAGAATCTAGCAGCAGGAATGAATGAACTAGCAGGAAGATGGGTACAAGTAGGAAACCCTAATTTGGGTTGTACCCCATATGGGCTACCCCACTACAGCCTACACAATGAGCAGCATATATGTTTGACACACCCCCATAGGCAAAGTGGGGGAGAACAAGGGTCACACGACCAGTCAAGAGAAGCAAAGCAAGCTTAGGGTGGATCACAATGTCACCACACTCTCTGAGCACAAGCAAAGGGCCACAAGGCCAGTTCACATGCAGAGGTATATATATATGCAACAACAATAGAGCAGTGATCACTACCTAGCAAGGGCAAGCATGCAGAACATATATATATATATCAAAGTACAACCAAAGACTACAGCAAGTGTGGAAACGTAGGCACAAGGCCTAACAGGGTACAAAAGCGCTGATGATCACCAGACGGAAGTGCCTTGGTGAATATATCAGCAGTGTTGGCCCGAGTGGCCACGTGACGAAGACGAAGCTGACCTCGCTGCTGCAACTCTCGAGCCAGGAAGTAACGCAGAGCGATGTGCTTCGTTCTGTGCTCCTGTCTGTGCTCCTCACACAAGGCCTTGGCCGCCTTGTTGTCGACGTACAGAACTAGAGGAGAACGAGGCCGCTCACCCAAGTCAGTCAGCAGGTAGGTGAGCCAGCGTAGCTCCTGTGCAGCCATGGCGGTGGCGTAGAT